TTTCTTTTCTTTTTCCTCTAACAACTGTTGTAATTTCTCTTCTCGTTCTTCTTGTTTCTTTTCTTTTTCCTCTAACAACTGTTGTAATTTCTCTTCTCGTTCTTCTTGTTTCTTTTCTTGTTTATTTAGTTGTTCGAGCTGCCACTGTTGCAGGTTTTCTTGCAGCTGCTGTTGTCTCTCTTCTTGTTTCTTTTGCTGCTCTTGTATTGCTGCCATCAAGTCTGCTAAACTGTAGTTTGATTTTCCGCCTCTCGTTTCCATTTTTTTTCGTTCCACTTCTGACACCAATTTGTCACGTCTCCGTTTGTTAATTAACTTTCCGTAACTTCGTTCCAACGAAACTTTAACGACACTAGTCTTTACTTAATAAAACTGGTTTATTCTTTCCGAATATAACTTTACCGATACACTCAACTTCAACAATCGCGCTATATCAACGAACGTCAATAATACTTCTGACCGCAGATCAATTACACACTATCTACACACACATTACCTTCCCCTCTTTTATATACCAACCTACCCTATATCTAGTAAGAACTAGAACATTCGCCAAAGTACAGGATAATTCTAGAAAGTAGAGCGTGAGAATCACATGATCTCGATGACGCAACAATATGTTTCGGCGTGTTAATGCCATCTTACATCGTCATCGTTAAAGCAGAAAACGTTAATTCGTACAAATATATTGATGTGAAAGGCAAAAGCACCAAACTGCTTTTCTTGACAGGTCAGAGTATTCTTTTAGAACTAACATCTAGAAATTTCCAACAGATATTGACTTGAATTCTACCTGAAGAGTTTTATAACTGGATAGTTCCATGAGCTTTTCATGAGCTGCCACTGGCAGATGAGAAGTTATGCTGCCGCCGAGTAAATGGATTCTGGATCCAGTCATGTTCTCCTGTTGATTCTTGGAATTGATCTGCAAACTGACACTTAAGTTTTTCGAGACAAATAGAAACAACGCCACATATAAGGCTATGAAATAACTCATTTTCTTCCAAGAATTCACTGAGGCAATGAAACTATTCTCAGTTTCCATTCTCAAACTTGTTTCCACAGCACAAGTTTTTCTGTGAAATGTAGACACTTTGTCACTCAGTTGCAAAATACTACTATTCTGGCCTTGCTGTGACAAATTAAAGGTAGTTGAGTTTATCGACAATATCAGTCAGGTACCACAGTACCAGACTACTTTTAATCCACAAAACGTGCTGTTAGTATAGGGTTCCAGTTAAACAAAAAGATGTGAAGGTTGCCTTTCAGTTGCACAATGCGACTGAGTACCTTCCTGTGAGACAACCAGCACACCTTTGTATGTGGCAAAAGCTTCTGTACATGAATTCCATTTCTCCACAATGAATGGAAAACAACCTGCTGACAAAGCTCTTGATTTCAGAAACTTCACAACACCCTCTTCATTTTGTAGCACTACATATGCTTCAGGCTGCAATTTCTTTGAAGCTTGTACTTCCCTGTGTATGATGCAATGAGTATATGTTACAGTAAGAGCATTGACTTTGGCTCTGTACCCTTTCATGTTTCCAATAAATGTAGCTGCCCCATCAGTGCGTTCCTCAACAGAATTAATCCAAGAAAGATTGTCTGTGGTGAAAAACACACTCACAAGAGAAAATATTACTACCCCGTAGCTATCCCTTCTAGTGCTTTGTAAAACAGAAATTCTTCATAATCACACTTCCTATTCATAACAATGAAAGTACCAGAAGCTGAGCTAAATGTGTAACATTTGTGGTTTCATCAAGTTTTATAGCGAATTTCAGATTCTTGTGGATGCATGATAGTAATTGCATTTTTATATTAATAGATATTACAACTTTATGATTCACGATAGTGTCAAGTAATAAATGGATAGACAAGAGAGCCTCAACATACCTCTAGTTATTAACAGATATGAAAATGAAACCAAATTTTAAATAATTCTCCTGGTATTTATGTGCTTTAGTTTTTCGTTTGGTGCTCTGTTTATCGACAGAAGTAGTAGAAAAGGAAACCAAGGAAGTGCTTGGTGCAGCTAGAGAGTCACCAAGTTGTTGTTGTTCATAATCACCATTGTTTAAGATGGTTCAGCAGATGCCAGCCAATCTACATTATCAGAGCAGCAAAGCAGACAAGGTTATTGGTATTGATCAACAAAAAATGATGGATGCTGTGGCAAATATTCTGGAAACTGACAGAGCTCAAATTAAATTTGGCTACTGGTTTTGGGGAACAAAACAAATTGTTCACCTTGAAGATTTTAATGATCACCTCATATCTTTTAGAGCTGAATGAACTGTTGCGTCAGCGAGGTCACATGACTAGTGTCACGCCACGTTTCTAGAACTATCCTGTACCTTGGCGAATGCTCTAGCATTTACTAGATATAGGGTAGTCTGGTATATAAAAAAGGGTGACAACGTGACGGGATAATAAGGTGTGTGTAGGTAATGAGTAATTGAACTGCAGTCAGAGAGAGGTGTATTGTTGAAGTTAACGTTGTTATTATAGTTT